TATACGAAATAGATCATCTTTTTCGACCAGGTAGATTTCCATCTCACTGAGCTTCTTCACCAAGTCTTTGCTCGGCTGTCCCGACGGTCGCTCTCGGTTCACAAACTCGTCACTGACCCTCTCGGGGTACTGGAGACAGGGGACGAGGTCATTGCTGTCACCATTGATGGTTACTTCAATATTCGGCCCGCCATAGTTTTTAATGCTCTCCACATGTCCTTTCATAGCTTCGGCTATATGTGATTTACAATGATAAAATGGTAATTCACGTCTGACAGAGGTGTCACCCTCCCACTGGAGAGCCTGAGTGATCTTCACAAAGCCCGGCTTATCTGTGTCTTCCTCTACATGGAGGGTGAAAGTGTTGTCGGAGCTGTCTGCTCCTGTGCTGCCTGTTCCATTGGATTTATTTTCCACGGCGGCAGAACCGTGCTGTTTTGTTTGGGAGCCAACCGCCTCTCTGTCGGAAGACTCACTGAAACGTGACGTCTTCTCTGAAGAGTTAGAACTGCCAGAGTCCCTCAGCGGTTCTGTATGCCACATTACTGGTCCGGTTAGAATCATGAAGTCAATGTCAGATGCAGTCTCAAATGTAAGAGCAGATGGTGCGTTATCGCTCGATTCTTCTTTCCCTGTCGCCATCCGCTCCTTTCTCCCCTCAATCCAATGCGGCATAGCAAAGCCGCCTTCACTCACCCATTCAAACGCTTCAACAATTGTTCCACTGACTCGTGACTTATACTTGGTGACATGCACCTCAGTACCTTCACTCACGCTTCCCGAAACAAATATATTCTGGATCGCTATGCATGCATGTGACCCACATTTCCAATGGCCGTCCCGGACATTGTTAAACCCGCATAATCCGCAAAAATAGCGTATTAGGACGAGATGACGGCCATGTAAAACATCTTTAAACAGTTGCTGGTAATAATGCGCCCGATGTCTGCTGTGTGACTTGGAGAGGAGCTGCTCCCTCCATCGTAGGACTCGTCCTAGAGCTGAGGCCATTTCGGCCAGTGACCGCGGAGTGTCCATTGCTCTCCGGATTCCCTCCAACTCAGGAGCAGTCGTGCAGCTCTTCCCGGGTTTCTGTCCGGTGTTCTGGGACTGGGCGTCTTTTTTGTTGTCATCTGGAGAGTAAACCACGACCTTCTGCTTCACAACAGGCTGCCTAACCTCTGTGACACCTCCCATCGTGAGCCCTAAGAGGTGACTGGTTTCTCTTGCACAATCGGAGTGTGTTTTGAAGTAATTGTTTGCACGGACTCTCATTTGAATCAGTTTTAAAAGGCCAATTAATCTCTCAGCCTTGGTGGAAAACGGGCTTGTATAGCTACGCATAATCATGTCAACCTCTCTAAGAAATATTTCGCAATGACCGCAGCCTTCAGGCAGCTGATCCTCTGGTTGATCTTGGTCATCGGTTTGAGCCAGCCGTCCAGCTGGACTTTCGTTGCAGTCCATACGAACCCGCTCTACCTCCATTCTTCGGACAGCAGTTCTGGCGGCATCGACGGATGTGTAGAAAAAAGCTTTGTGTTTTAATTGTTCTTCGATACTCCAATAGATTACAGTACTTATCCGTCTGTAGATTTTCTGCGCCACCAGCTCGATTCTCAGGTCTTCCTTGTCCACGGTGTCCTCGCCAGTGGACGTGTTGCACTCGGCCTCCCCCGGCTCACCTCCGTTCAGCAGGTCCCGGTACAGTGCCAGAACACACGCCTCTTCACTCGGCAGCACACCTCTACCCAGCACGCTCCTGTATGTCTCTCTGATGCCTACCTCCTCAAGGGGTCTCCACTCTTCAAGTTTCGGGTAGGCCTTGGAGCGTGCCAGCGCCGCCCGCGCGGCCGCCATCTCAGCAGGATCATCTTCTGGTGCATCCAACACTCGCTTCAGAGCTGCTATACGCTCATCGACACTGGCGATTTTCGCCTCACGAGACAGGGAAACAACCTCCTTCTCAACGGACTTATCGTCCCTTGAGCCTGCCACCTCTGGAGTGTCGGTCTGTGGTACCGCCCGCAGGGCGGCAGCCAGCGCCGCAGCCGGCATGGGAATGTGCCTCCCGCCACCCGGTGAGACAGCCATGGCGGCGTCCACCGCGGCAGCCGGCACTTCTCCGCTCAAATCCGTCTGACAGGTCCGCGGCAGCCTCGTAATGGCCAGAACCATGATGATGCTCTTTTCTTCTTCCATTCCTCTCAAAACAGGGTCGGACAAGGTGATACCCTCGTTGTCCGTCTGCACAGATACGTCCACTGACTGAACAGACACCCGTCTGAAGAGCGGTATCCAGACTGGTGCAACAACGGCTGTGGTATCTGTCGGCTACTGCAATCAGGACATTGTCTCATTTCATGTCCAATCATCAGACAGTACTTTTAGATACAAATCACTACTTGAAGTCTTCTTGAGCGCCTCCAAACTTGAGTGACAACCCGCTCTAGCAACAACTTCCAGTCTTCAGTCAGTACCTTCAGTCTTCTGTAAGAACCTCCAGTCTTCAGTAAGTAGCTCAAGTCTCGTCACTACCTTCCGTCACCTGTCAGAACTAGGAGAACCCGTCGTCTCTTGACGGACCTGCGGACACCACTGCGGCTCAGCCGGCTCCGTCTCACCTTAATACGACTGCCGGTGTTATTCTTTATCACACTCTACCAATGGCTGCTTCAGCTGATAATGGATGGACGGATAGGGAGACGGTGTCAGTCGGTATATCGGCTCAGCACTCGGGCACCGGGCGACTTGTTCGTGCAACGAAGCTGTTGGTGCAAGTTGAAAGGTAACTGAATTATTTAGTTTGACGTGCAGGAATGCTAACAAAAACCTCACTCATTTTGCTTTCGAATTATGTGAAAATGACCGTTATAAGCGTGACTATCATGGTATGAGCAAATAGGGTACCTACCTATACTTTTAAGAAGTTTTTTTTAGGGTGTGCATTTTAGGATTGGACCGACCCCGCCCCAACCCTGAGACCGTGGTGGAGCCCCTGCATATAAATGGCAGTTCTGGTACGGGGACAAAGTGCACGGGGCAAAGTACAGCAACAGCCACACCTTGTTCGAACTAGTCAGACGGGACAGCCCATCACGATGCATTAACAAGTGTCAATATCTGTCCACTGATTGCACTGAAATGCAGCGCTGTCGAGCACCGGTTGAGGTCACCTTATTTGTTGAACGCCGTGTTATCGTGACCGATTCGGCTATGCTTAATCCTGGTATTTTCAACAGGATTAGTGTGCTCGGCGTGGGGCCACTCCGAAGAGCGGCGGGGAATGCGACTTCCTGCAATCGGCGCCCCAGCTATCGCCAGCCGGGGCAGCTATCGTTCCGGGGTCGACGGGGGCTCCTCCCGTGTCAAACGCAGGTCACCTCTGTGACCTACCGGGGTCAACATGTCTACCAGATGTTCACATCCCCACCGGCCACATGTACATACAGCACGCTACTCAATAATTGCATAAACAAGAGCCCTCGTCGTCCCCCTGAACCGCATCAAACGAGCCCGCATCGGTTGCGCTTGCATATGGAATTATCGATTCTACAAACTGATCAGATAAGACCCTAAAAATGAACATTGAGATGGGAAAAATTGAATGACATTGGGAGTGAAATGTGGGTGTAGAAACTTGATACCAATCCTGCTAAAGACTGCTTCTCGCTCTCTCTCTCTCTCTCTCTCTCTCTCTCTCTCTCTCTCTCTCTCTCTCTCTCTCTCTCTCTCTCTCTCTCTCTCTCTCTCTCTCTCTCTCTCTCACTCTCTCTCTCCTCTCTCTCTCTCTCTCTCTCACTCTCTCTCTCCTCTCTCTCTCTCTCTCTCTCTCTCTCTCTCTCTCTCTCTCTCTCTCTCTCTCTCTCTCTCATTCCCGTTTTCTGCAGATAACCTTTTGCCAGCGTTCACCCTCTGGGCGAACCAAGGATCCTATAGGGCCCTATATAGAAGGACCCTATAGGGCTCTCAGCACAATGAACCATTTGGAAACTGGTACGAATATTACGTTTCCAAATCCGTTATAGGAAGAATAAATAACTATTCACCCTTGACAATAACCAATACCGGCATGCACCGAATCCATAAAAGAAGACAAGAGTCTGCTGATAAATTTTATTGAACCATACAGGTAACCGCACATTTCACCGATCGGCGTTCTATCTCGAATGAGCAATGAACATACACTGCACTGGCTGCAGTGCAGCCCACAAACATCTCCCGTGGATAAATTATCACACTATTGATGAAGGTTGCGCGCCGCCAACATAGCGAAATATCAGAGAATCTCAACAGGTTCCGTACGATGAGGGTAATAAATGGCTTACACATTCGACCCATACGAAACTGTAAAAAGCTCTGGTTTCCTGAATTGTGACACCGACTAGCCAGCCATCTACCCATTGCGCACGCTGTAATCAAAGCACAGGCTCTTTAGTGCTCGCTGGAATAACTGCTTTCGGCCTAGAATAGCATGGGTGCATTATCCATGAATGCTGGGTGCATTTCCTTTCGCGTGGTCTCAAGAAACACGCTTTTGGGGCAATCAAGCACAGATGGGCATAGTGCATACTGTGTTGAAACATATATCACCTATCCTTACGTATTATGTAAATGAAGATCCCTCATAAAGAAAACGCAAATCCCTAGACCCAGTGCAACCTAAAACTTTTTGACAAAAGTCATGTACCTATGTCATTAAATAGTAAATGAATTGAACCCTAATAATGATTAAAACTGAGCAAACAGTTAAAATACTGGCACCGAACAGGCTATCGTATCATCCCGCATAAAACCCGAACTACCACTGAATTACGGTGGTGATCGTTTTAAATGCCCGGTCATTTAACAGATATCATAGATATTCTCAATCAAATACACACCAACACTCAATCGCTTCCCCTCTCTCTCCCTTTCTCTCTCCCTCTCCCTCCCTCCCCAAACCCTCTCAGAGGACCCGCCGGTATGACCCCCCCCCCTCCCCCTCCGATCCCCCCCCCCCCACAGTCTCCATCACTGGTCACCCGCGTGGTCCGCGCGCTCCGTCTGTTTAGACTTCTCGAACGCCTCGTAGGCAGCCAGCTCCTTCTTTTCCTTCTTCTGGTTTCGCAGCATAAACTCCATCCTGGAAAAACACGGTAAGACGGTGAGGAAGAATAATCGGAGATGGAATGAGTGAAAATTATTTATAAAGCATCTATCCGACCTATCGGCTTATCCCTAGTAATACTTTGTCATAAGACATGTATCCGCCCCATCCCTACTCTACCCCTACCTTGATCATACGGCTGTTATTGAGGGATGTATCACAGCTCCCATTCTCAATGTCATCGTGTCATCCATCTCCTTTCCGACGGCTCAATGTGCGGTCCGTCGTGACTTTCCGAGTGAATGTGACTTTACTTCCTTCTCACTCGCTTACTCACTCACTAGCCCCTTCCCCTCCCCTCTTTCCCTTACCCCCCCCCCCCTCTCTCTCTCTCTCGCTCTATCTCTCTCTCTCTCTCTCTCTCTCTCTCTCTCTCTCTCTCTCTCTCTCTCTCTCTCTCTCTCTCTCTCCTTCCCTCCCCTCGTCTCTTCTCACAAACCTGTGCTCGATGATTCTCTCCACAATCTTCTGCGTCGTCATGTCATTTCCAGATACCAGAGATTTGAACTTCCCGCGTCTCTTCGGTTCCAGGTAGGGATCTGATCCATCTATATTAACCCGCGCCCCACTGGGGTCTGCGTATAACACGCCCTACTGGGGGGGGGGGGGGGGCTATTCATAGCCCCCCCTCCTAACTCCGAAACTACTGGGCCGATCGTCAAAATTCAAACGGCGTCTGATAGCCCCGGAAAAACTGTCGAGCGAAACCTAATTTCATTGACCTCGAGGTCACCGATGACGTCACAGGTCAGGTCAAAGTAAAAATTATTAGCATTTTGGCTTGTTCACGTTTTGGGCTCTGGCCGCCGTCTTACAAGTCAGATCAGGCTCATTTTTGGTTCACACACTCGTGAACAGATGTTCTAGATACCCTGAGGGTACCAAACTTGTGCTTTGATTTTCAGGTCAAGGTCAGGTCATCACAGGTCACGAAAATATTATATCATGCCTCGGTCACGTGACACATGTTTTATGGTCTATTTAGGCCAAAGATTTCGAATTTGATGTCGTCTGTGTCATTCGAGGTCATTTTGAGTCGAATTTAGCTTAGGGTCAGGTCACTTTCAGGTCAAAAAAGGTCAAATTTTGAAGGTTAAAATTTTTCAACAAAAAAGGTGTCTATTGGATGCAGTTTGAGCTCAGGAACACGATGGTGCTATTTATATTGGCGTACGATGTCAAATACGTGCTGAAAAATTGATTTGAAAAATTAATAATTGTGATTTTTTTGCAATAATGCGTATAACTTGGTCATTTTTGAAGATATTTAGCTAAAACTTGCTAGAGTTAGTCATAATAACGCGTTCTATCACATATATTCTGGTTTTTTCGAAAAGTCAAAAACTTTTTGAAAAAAAATTAAAAATGTAAATTTTGAATTTCATTATATGAAATTTTCAAAATTTTCAAAATTTCAAAAATCCGAGATAGCAGTTTGATAGCGCAGTCTATTCGGAGTCCTCTCATGCAAAGAAATTGGATCTAGCTCAAAAACTGAGCCCTTGGGAACGATTGCCGTGGTTCAATGTTTTGCGTCGAAATCGGCCGAACATGACGTCACTCTGACGTCATTTCCGGCCGACCTATGGTAGCTACGAAGTTCAAATTTTGACACAAGATGTCAAATTGATGCAGCCGAAGGTACTGAAAGTTTGGCGTCGATACGTCAAGCGGTTTGGAAGTTATTGCAGAAAAACGGGAGGGGGGGGGCTATAAATAGCCCCCCCCCCCCCAGTGGGGCGCGGGTTAACCAGGAAATCAGTCAACTTTCAGTCCACGTCAACAGCACAGGTAACACGGGAAGAGATATTTCAGTCCACCCACCAAACAGTCAGCGAGATATGCTGGTAAATTCACTGTTACTAAATGTATTAATGTTATGTAGACAACTGAACCTAAATAGAGCTCTGTTGTACACCTAGACTAAAGAGTTTTATACACTATACTGAGATCTATGAATGAATGTGACTTTAATTCCTTCTCACCCGGTTACTCACTCACTAACCCTCCCTGTCCCTCTCTCTCTCCCTCCCCCTCTCTCCCCTCTCTTTCCCCTCCCCCCCCCCTCTTACCGACATCCTCTGCCACCGGCGTGTGGCCGTGACACACCACATCCACCCGGAAATGGTCCATCAGCTCGGCGGTGGGGAGCATTCATTTTGGCCAGAGTTCATAATGTCCAGGGTACGCGATGCCCAGTGTCAAAATGGCCAGTGCCTTGAATGGGCCAGAGTTCATAATGTCCAGGGATTGCATGGTCCAAATGTGGCCAACTGGCTGCAGATAGGGTATATTCAAAGAGGCCAGGGTTCATAATGTCCAGGGCACGATGTGTCCAGTGTTCAAAATGGCCAGGGTTCATAATGTCCAGGGCACGATGTGTCCAGTATTCGAAATGGCCAGGGTTCATAATGTCCAGGGCACGATGTGTCCAGTGTTCAAAATGGCCAGTGCCTTGAATGCGCCAGAGTTCATAATGTCCAGGGATTACATAATCACTGAAAGTGACGTCATTATGTAAAAAACACGGAATCAGCTCAATGCAAAGCAGTGCAGTGCCGAAGGCAATGCCTTAGGAGAGATTACAGGCAATAGTAAATCAAATATTTTTAGGCTAAGTGGTTATGTATCTGGCTTCAGGCCGAAGGCCTGAAGCCTGATGCATAGCCACTTAACCTAAAAATATTTGATTTACTATTGCTTGCAATCTATTCATGCGAGAAACTATTTCCTTATCCCTGGTAGGCAAACATCATTACCTTAGGTTAGGTTAGGTTAGGTTAGGTTAGGTTAGGTTAGGTTAGGCTAGGTTAGGTTAGGTTAGGTTAGGTTAGGTTTGGTTGGGTTGACTATGTAATCCCTGGACACTATGAACTCTGGCCCATTCAAGGCACTGGCCATTTTGAACACTGGACACATCGTGCCCTGGACATTATGAACCCTGGCCATTTCGAACACTGGACACATCGTGCCCTGGACATTATGAACCCTGGCCATTTTGAACACTGGACACATCGTGCCCTGGACATTATGAACCCTGGCCTCTTTGAATTTACCCTATCTGCAGCCAGTTGGCCACTTTTGGACCATGTAATCCCTGGACAATGTGAACACTGGCCAATTCAAGGCACTGGCCAATTCGAGCACTGGACACATTGTGCCCTGGACATTATGAACCCTGGCCTAAATAATACGCACCCGCGGCGGTGACCGCGTACGGCGCGCCGATCACCACCTCCCCCACGTAGCGGCACGCCAGAACAGAGAGCGTCCGCTCGTGCAGGTTCATGATCGGGTAGTTGTAGCCCTTGTAGCTGGCGGCAATCAGGGCGGTCAGATGACCGTGCGTGTAGTGATTTTGGTCCTTACGGATAAACGTGTATTGTGAGCGAAAAACTTTCCCTTTGCCGTTTTCCCTAGAGGGGGGTACTGACTCCTGAAGAATCAGACCAATCAGACCTAACCTAACCTGCCACTAATTTTCCCTAAACCATGCTCCATTTAAACTGGATAGCAATATTTCAAAGAGATGAGCGTTGTGAGGAATATCGTCAAGATATTCATCAACATATTCTAATTGACTAAATCCATCCTGGATTGAATCAGAACATGAATGACAAAAGCAAAACTACACTAGGTTGATAGAGTCGTATTCAAATATAGTTACCAGAGTTTGGTAATTTTGGTAACTTACATTCTGATTCAATTAAGGATTCGGTCGATTAAAATATGGATGTCAATAAACGCTGACCCAGCCATCCCATCAGCAGCGATACAGCAGCAGTCCACGGAGCGTGGCGACTGCAGCTCTCACCGGTTCACAATGGGGTCCGTGTGGAGTCCAACGATCAGAAAGTCGCCCTCCGCAGCCGCCTTCTCCAGAAAGTCCAGGTGACCGACGTGGAACAGGTCAAACGCGCCGGCCACGTACACCACACGGTCACCGGGCTGAGGTCACAGGTCAGATACGGGTCATATATGGGGCAGAGAGTGGTCATGTAGAGGTGAGATACAGGTCAGATGAAGCTCACATGAAGAGTACAATATACAAACAGACATTTCAAACAGATTTCCTCTCTTAAAGGTAGTGTGCCACCTTCCAATGATTTCCCATTTTATTTTTCCTAGGATAAGAAGCTTCTGTTTTTACCTAATATCGCAAAAAAAATCAAAAATGGGCCCGAAATAGTGCTTTTTTCGCCTAAAAGTTTATCGGTTTTTCGATATGTATAACAACTGTAGTGGGCTGACCTCCTAAACAGGCGTCGGCAACAATCGCGAATGCGGCGCACATGTGACAATAAGCAAAGGTCATTATAGAGTTACGACGTACGGGAATGAGTTATCAGCTGTCTAATCGTAGACAACACAATGTCGAATTTAAACTGTAAGCCTGTATTGGTATTGTTTCTTTAATTTGGCTGTCGAACATTAATTTATGGTTTGAAATATGATTTTATGTAAAATAATTTATATGAAACAGCCGTCTCTAAAGTTATGACCCCATCTCACCGCATGAAAGTGGCAGAAATGACAATGATCAGCTGACGCATTTTTCTTGGCCGAAGTCAGAGCGCGCGGCCCGACGCACCACCACCGCACCACAAAAGTATGAGCAGAAGCCACCTGCGGTAGACCGCGCCCAAAGCCAGGGCCCCGGTAACGTGAGGTAGCCGAGTCGGGGCAGCGTGCGCTGACCCAAGCCGGGGCCGCGGCTTTGGGCGCGGTCTACCGCATCCCCGGGCAGCCCCGGGCTATCACATGACACCGGGAGGACGCGCGGCCCCGGCTTGGGTCAGCGCACGCAGCCCCGACTCGGCTACCTCACGTTACCGGGGCCCTGGCTTTGGGCGCGGTCTACCGCACCACCTAACAGGCGTGTTCGAAAACCGCAGGAGATGATGATGAACGGGTTTATCGAACTTGATTGGATGAGCCTATCGGTAATAGCGATTTCAGTGTGTGCATTTATTGGTTCATAGTGGTGTGAAATGTGGCTGGGGTACGACCGACAACCCGTCGGGGCGAATTTCGCACTGGGGTACTCAAAATTTGAAGAATTTAAGACGTTTCCATGAGTTTTGAAGGTATGGATAAGTTCTAAAAATCCGGTTCTCCTTATCTGGGCATTAACTCAATACGGTCCAGGAAAGCTGGCACACTACCTTTAACTCTCCCGCATTTATCCTTCCCTCTTTCCCGTTCTTTCCCCCGCCCCCTCTCTTCT